CCCCAAAACCCCAAAACCCCAAAACCCCAAACTGTAACATAGCAGTAAATCTTAGATTTGGAAAGGAATGAAATAAACTAAATATCTTTTTTACTCAAAAGCATTTATTAATTATGATATTTGATAGTTGTTTGAAGATCTAAACTCAAAAGCTTTCAAGTTCATTCTTTGATCTTTCATTTATTTTAAATCAGTTTTGCTTTGTCTGGACTTTCCAAAATATATGTATTACCCTGCATCTCAATAATTTCATCATCCTTATCAATTACTTTATCAAAACTGTTCATTAGCAAATTTTCTCTCTAGTTAATAATCTTTAAATCTGCATCTTACCTGTCAGAACATTACTAGGTAATCTTTTCCCAATCAAAACCCCAACTTAACAAGTATTAAAAGTATAAAACTACAATTGCTTCTCCAGTAATCAGACCCATCCATAATCCCTTCAAACCCAGTTTAAAATAAATTCCTAAGAGAGTTCCTAAAGGCCAAGCAAAGACATAAAATGCAACAATGCCTCCAGCTACTGCATGATTGAACTTAGTTAACGCTCTAATTGATCCTTATTGTATTGCATAAATAAAGTCAAAAACCACAGAGATAGCAGACACTATGAATGTTTATGATGTGATTTCTACTACTTCAGGATTTGTTGAAAAGAGTTTTGCTATTTAATGTCTCAGAACAAATAGTAATCCCCCCATAAATAGAGCAAGAAGAAGAGAAAATTTAATGATGAAGCTAGATTTTGCCTTAGCAAGTTTGCTATTCTTTTATCCAATAAGTTGTCCAACAATGGTAGTAGAAGCCATACTGAGACCTGTTGGAATCATATAAAACATTACATTAGTGGTAAATGTTATGACTTATGCGGCATTAGCAGTAACTGATATGTAGCCAGAAACTATGCACAGAGCTTCAAATCCTAAAAACTCCATGCAAAACAATAGTGCTGCTGGCACTGCCAATTTAGCATATTCGCAAAAGTTTGAGAATGTTTCCATTCCTCCTAAGAACCATGATTCATTGTATTACGAGTCTAATTTGATCAAAAAATGAATAATAACAAAATTAGCAAAGAATTAGAGACATGTGGAATAGCTTGTATAGTAGTAGGGTAATTCCATCTTTACGATTAGAAAATGACAAAGAAAAATATGAAGTATTCCCGTAATAACCTAAATATAAGTACTTAAAAGAGGTTTTCCATAACCTACTAAAAACTATCTAGCAATATCAAAGTACATAAAAGCTATTAATCCTGGAATCTATCTTACTGTATAGTTCTGAGCGCATTTAGCAGTTTATGAATCAATACCGATAGCAATGAGTGTATCTTCAAGAAAGAAAGATAAGAATATTGCTATAGGGCACCATATTGTAATTATTAATCTTCCTCTATTAACATAAATTCCACTCTGTCTATAATTGCCTGCTCCTATAGATTATGAAATCAAAGACTACAGAACACCATTTAATCCAAGACATACTGCTAAATACACAACATTAATAAAAGTTGTGCCTAGACCAACTCCCGCTACTACTGAAGGATCAGGATCATAACCTGAGTAGAAAATATTTACAGTTTGGTTCAAGAATGACATGAAAGCTTGAAAGATTACTGGCACTCCAAGTTAAATCATTGATTTTACTACTTAAACTTTCGACATAGTCTGGTCCTCCTCTTAGTTTGTTGAATGCATTTTCTTTGATGTAATTTTGTTTCGAAATTTATGATTATTAAAGTTTTATTTTCCTAAATAAATTATCACAAGTTCAAATTTTTATTTTATTGGAATTTAAAATAATTATCCCAAATATTCTAACCCATATTTACTTTCATGGGGTTTTGGGGTTTTGGGG